TAAAATGAATTCTTAAGCAAGTTCAATTTTTGTAGGTACGTTTGCAAGGATTTTATTTTGCATAAAGATCCGCAGTCTAATTATAAATAATACCTATAGCAAGCTCTCCCAACATACTCATATTCTTAATTCATCTCACGCCAATATATCACGCCCGAAATTACCACGGATACACGTACTGAATTAACTGGAGAAAAACCCCTTTCCTCCGCCGATTAACAGCTCGCCGTTTACCTCCCATACGTTATTTGGAACATCTCCTATCCAGATAAGAATTTTACTGAGGCACAGTGGTGCGTCGCGGCGGTTAAGAATCACTGGTCTAGCGTGCAGCTACATGCTAGGGAAGCGAATAAAGGAAGGAAGATCGCCGGTGAGAGATTTGCACAAGGACCGTGCACCTCTGCTCCTCTGCAATGGTGAACGTTGTAAAGTGGCACCGCGTCGCTTTTACGAGCGCATGCCTCGCCGTAATGGAAACGATAAAGGGAACAGGCGGGTTGATTTGTTTAGCCGCGGTTCGCTGCCGATCGATTTATTAGATAGCGCTTGACGGTTTTAGTTGCTACTAAGTGGCCACGGTACGTGAATTATGAACTGTTTTCGTCGGCAGTGCAAGGACTCGAGGGGGCAAGGAATGCTTTGAATCTTGAATCGCGGTTTGAAACATATTTTCGAGGAATCCCTGCAGACGGTAAATCTAGAACGCGAATCAAGAAGATTCTGTGCGAACGGTGAATGGCCGAGGTCTGCATTCGATTCGTGGGGAGATAGAGCATGCTTGGTCGCCGGTTCTTGTGTTATAATGATCGCAAGTAGTGAATATTTTGACCGTGGTTAATTGAGAATTTATATTGGCTTCCCTGTGGTTATCAATGTCCTTTCATATAAAATTTTCTTCAGAAGTATCATTTGGGTCACCCTGTAGAGGTATGACAAAGAGTCATCCTGTTGATTGCTCGTTCTAGGAAGCCGATTTATTTACAACTTTCAGGTCGCGTATTTATAACACCGAGCCTTATCACTTCCCGCGGGGAGGAAAAAAATTTGTTTACAAGATCCCCTTCGACGTAAATGGGACAACGCCTCCTGAGACCTCGCTCGCGGAGCATGACCGATCGTACGCAGTAATCGAAAGGCAACCGTGCTTGTAACATCAAACAAGTCTATCGTTACTCTTATACGTTAATAGTGGGGAAAGATAATTCTTCCCTAAAACTTTAGAAATTTCTACAATCTTCACTCTTTGGGACTTCAAAATCAAGGTATCAACAACTTTCTAAATAATTTTACAAAAATCCAAAAATAACCATCCAAGTTCTCTCGCATATTCAAAGTGAATAACAAAGAATTAATTTACAGAACAGAGGAAAAACTGGACCTGCATCCTTTAGGACTCATTGGGACACCAAACCAAGGTATCAACAACTTTCTAAATAATTTTACAAGGATCCAAAAATAACCATCGCACTCCTCTTGCATATCCAAACTAAATAACAAATAATTAATTTACAGAACAGAGGCTAAAATGGACCTGCATCCTTTAGGACACATTGGGACCTCCAAACCAAGGTATCAACTTCCTAAATAACTTCACAAAA